GCTCCCCCCTGCTCCTCTCACCTCCTCCCTGCTCCTCTTCCTCTCATCCTCACCTTTCCTGCTCCGTGTCAGTGACTTGCTGGTTCTGAGCATGTTTAGTCGCCAGAAAAACGAGTGTGTATTGGTGTGAGTAAACATTTGAAATGTCTTTAAAGGGGTTGGTAGCCCAAATCGAGCGTATCTCATTTGGGAAAACCTACAGAGATTGTGGTTGATGTGTGTTCACCGGATTTTCCGCAAACCGTGCACGTTCTAAAGTTCCAACCTTTGCATCCCTCTGGCTAAGCACGGAAGCTTGACCTGTCCAGTAATTGAGCAAAGAGTTTCTGGGCGATAGGCGGTGCGGGGGGGGGGGGGCTGCTGCTCATTAGTGCGTGATTGGTTTCTGATTCCTGTTGCTGCATTGTCCAGAGCTGCTCAGAGCAGCAGCTCCACACCAGCCTACCCTAACCTCCTGATCTATGGGTCTGGTCTGCATCAGCAGAGGGACCTGCTGCTGTAGCTGTGCTTTAATGCAAAAGAGCATATTGGTCATATTTGGCTTCATAGTGGGATGAACAGAGGCAGAAATCAGTGTGAAAGCCTCATGCAGTGGTGGTGTCCCGTTAAAGCTCCAGACGCTCAGTCATCTGATGCACTGGTTATTTGTCTTTATTACAGTTTCTTTTAGTTTGACTGCACCTCAAAGCTGCCATCAGTGTTTCAGCTGTCCTGGAACCCACCCCTCACAGCAGCAGGATGACCAGGGAAGCTCAAGAGCACTCCATTCATTTGAACCTTTACCCAAACCTTTTAGAAGAAGCCCAGCGACATTTAATCGAGAGCATTAGAGAGTTTCAGAAAACAGAAGAAAACAGAAGGTGTTTTTCCCTCTCCCTGCAGACGCCTGCATGCCCGGGTGTCGATGCTTCCCCCAGCTCTGAGCTAGTGCAGGGAATCTGGTCTTTCCCATCCTTGTGTTGGAGAGCTGGAGGTGATTATGGGTGCTAGATACCATCTCGTCCTGATTATTGGAATTCCCTTTTATTGTCCCAGCAATTCTTTACTGTGAAGACAATGTTCCACAGTTGGGCTCTTCTTCCCTGGACTCCTGGTCAGGTTTGGATTCCAGCTAAGGGGCCTGATTGGTCCGTTCAGAGCTTTCCATGTGCAGGAAGCTTCACCTGGAAATAATTAGTGTTTTGTTTATTACTTTTCTGTTATTTTCTGTGGAACACATTTGAACAGAATTGTTGAAAAGAGCAATGGGAAACTGCATGCACCCTCATTCCTCCCTGCAGTGTTACCAAGCAACACCGTCCCAAGATGTAGGATTAGCCAAATTCATGTAGTATGCCCCAAGTTTGGGGAACAAAGCTCTTTAGTTTAAACTGAAAAACTGATCTCTGTTTCCCGTTTTTCCTCCAGGAAATTCAGCCGTCTCCCTCAGTGCCCTCTGAAGCCCTCTCCTGTGGGACAAATGGAAAAACATTGTCACTACTCAACTGTCCCTGTCCTTCTGCTCGTCCTCACATCACTGTCCTGTCTCCGTCTGTCCAGCTCTTATCATGTGAGCACCGATGGACATGCTAATAACTACCACAGAGAGGCTCCCCGGGGCTTGACCGGAGCTGACCACACAGAGAGACAGCAAAACCTCCAACCATCAGTCCAGAGAAACTCTACCGAAGAAGAAGAGCTCTTTAAGGATGTTGATCCCAAAAAGTTAGCGGCTGCTTTGTTAGAGGCCATTAATCACTCTCAGGCTGTGAGAGGGAGGAAGCAGGAGGAGCACAAAGGGATGGGAAACACGGAGAGAGGCCGTGTGAAAAAAGAAGAGGCGTATGGGGAGGATGCCTCTTCCCCAGGAGACAGAGACAGAGACGGACAACAGAAGTTGGGGCTACTGTTTGCTCCACATATTGATGAGGAGGAGGAGAGGAGGAAAGCGTTGGAGGAGGAGAAGTTAACTGAGAAAGTGACCAGTCAGACGACCAGCCAGACGATCCAGAACCAAACCGAGCAGCAGCTGAGTGTTTCAGAGGGCGGGGCAGACGTTAGGGACCAAAGAGGCAGCCAGGAAGAGGAGCAGCTCAGCCCCGAGGAGCTGAGGAGTCTGGAAACCATGATGAAAGAGTTCCCTCCGTTGGACGTAGCCTCTAGAAGAGAGGAGGACTCGGGGAAAATGAGGAGGCAGAGCAGAGCTTTCAGCAGATACAATGAAATCCTCCCTGTCCATAAAGGCAGTGACCTCGCCATGTCCAAGAAAAAACTCAAATGGCAGGAGGAGACACAAAAAGCCCTGAACTTTCCAGCCTTTACCGGAGGCAATTCCATAAATGAAATAGAAGCCAGTGATTATGCTGTTAACCCAGCACAGCCCAGGCCTCCAGCAGAGCAGGAAGTGATGGAAGATTATGACCCAAATGAGGAGGAGGTGCTAAGTCCAGAGGAGGAGGAAGCTCGAGTCCGAGTGGAGCAGGAGGAGATGATGAGGCAAGCGGAGGAGGCACAGAGAGCCAAGCTGGAGGAGGAGAAGTTAGCTGACATGGCCTCAGACATGTTACTGCGCTACATGGTCAAACAAAACAACGGGCACAAGAAGTACAGCTCATCTCTGTCCAGCACGGCCGAGGACAAGCGATCGGACGAGGAGCAGGACACGCTCCAGCAGGACGACATCGACCCGGAGACCATCGATAAGCTGATTGAGATTTCCAGCAAACTCCACCTGCCTGCCGATGACGTGGTGGACATAATCACTGATGCAGAGAAGAAAAAGAAGAAAGATGTGCCACCCGAGGTAGCCTCATATCGGCAATATCCTCCATCTTCCTCCTTTACTCCTGGATGGCACCTTTCAGGCAATGAGAATAAAGTACCAGTGTATAAGCCGCCATTTATGGCTCCTAATCCTCTCAAAGCCCGGGTCCAGGAGAAAAACACTTTAGTTTCAGAGGACGTACGGAAGAAACTCTCCAAATTCATACAAGCCAACCGTGATCCTTGGTCCAAACCGGTTCAACAGAACCCCTGGCTCAAATCCTCCACGCCTGTTTGGATGGACTACCCCCTCTCCGCCTATGCTCCCCCCATCCCTTTGTACCACCAGAGGAACCCCTCCCCTAAACACTATCCAATCTATTTCCCTCTTCTGTCCAGATCCAGTTCCCGTTACTACAGTCCTAAGCCCGCCTTTAACCTCAACAGCTTCCTGGGTAATTCTGGGGCTAATGGCTACCCCTTCACACCCAGAAGGCGCTACCAGAGCTGGGTCTGGCCTGGGCCGAGGAAACCTCCCCCAGGACTCCCACAGTCCTACTACAAAACCTACTCTCCCATAGTCTACCCCCAACAATTTCAACGGATACTCATCCCCAAAGCTCACCCCCCTCCCAGAGCTCACGCCAGGCCTCCCCAACAGAGGTTTTACAAGTCAGCTGTGGGAGTTACAAGAAACGGAGATGTGTACGGGGGCAGAGAGCGGTCAGCCAGCAGCAGCCTGGCTGACCTGGAGAAGTACATACAGCAGAGACTGAGAAAAGGTCCACAGGTTGCGGGCTGAGCAGTCCACCTGACCGGACACTGACTGTGGGAAAAATCCAAAAGGGTCAACGAGTGAAAAATGACATGTGTTTTTGTCTTCTTTTTCTGCGCATACCTAGTTTATTGTTCTATTTGGTTTAGTTATGATTTGCACATGGCCATTTCAGAGTCCTCTTTGTCCAATATGTTGTTTGGATGAAAAGACACGGACAGAGCTGATAATAATCCTGAATGTGGCTTTTCTGGTGGTTAGGATGTTTTTACAGTTGAATGATACCATTTAAAGACAGAGGTAGAATACCGCGGAGAATCAGAGGGTCTAGACTATGACACAGTCCAAGTTGTGGTCATACCTACCTAAACTTTATGCTTGTGCAACAGCCACCTCAGCCTCCAGTCAGCTCAAAGGTAAAACATGTTAGGGCTCTTGTGAAGTTGTCGTGGTGGAAGTGTTTCACCTCACTGGAACAGGAGAAATCCAGGTGTAAGGCTCAGAACCACACTCAGCTTTTACAGAGAGATCATAGGTACAGAGGAGATCAGTCTGCAAACTGCTTATATAGCAAAGTGGGTTCTTCTCTGTAAGTGTGACATTTCAGTAGTTTTGTTCCACTTTGATTAGAAAACCAGCTTCTCTTGACAAACACTCCACATACCTGACAGAAGTCCCTCCGCTGCCCGTGAAACATGTTTCATACAAAGGTCACATAATAGCTCAGATGACTCATTCCTTTGCATGACTTCAAGTACGATGTTGCCATGGTGACAAGGCCTGGCCAAACTCTGAAAGGCGTTTTACAGCTGATGGCTTTAGAGTGAGATGCGGCACTCTAAATGATGTGGGGAGCGGCTATGATTCCACATTTAGTCACTGTGTCCCAGCTCACAGCCACATAGTGGACTCAGAATGCTTAATGTGTTTCTGGGAGCTGAACATGGCATTTTCAAGTCATTAACAGAAGGGGGGAATTAGTTTGTATCAAACTTTTGGTTGCTTGTATGATTTGTGGTCTAACTACACAAAAAGACATTCCTTCCCTGTGCAGGACTTCCTGTTGGAATGGCTCCTCATGTGGAATAGTGAGAACAGGATAAGAAAAGTGATAACCTGCACAGCCTTGTAAAAGCTTAATTTCTTATCTGTCATCACTATTTTGTGTTTTTTAACAATGCTCTACCATCAGAAGTGGGTTTGTCAAGAAGTATTTATAAATCTCAAGCAAATATCTGCTATCTGACTCCATTCCTCTGGTGGTACTTTCTGATCTTTTTATCCATGAGCAGATAAAAACAGAAGCAGTTTGCTTCAGCTCAGTTCAGTTCAGTGGAGACAGTGTCCATAATGACCAAAGAAAGGCCTCTGAGCAGATAGAATAGATATTTTCCTCTCAGAGCTTTAAAAGATACTACTAATCAATAATCAATGAAAAGGTACTCTTTAGGTTCCTGTTTGGGATGGACGTTTGTCCGATTACTCTTACTGACCTTTACAGCCATCTGTTGAACAACCCATCTTTTGTGTTGCCAGACATCTTCACAATCATTACTTGGACAGTTTAAGAAGATGAAGCCACCATGAGGTGGTTAGTTAACCAGAGAGATGGATATGGACCTGTAAGTCACATTTGATACATCTTTTTCAGATTTGTTGTGAACATAGGGAGGAAGCTGCAGAGCAGAGATGAAGGCACAGTATCTGCACGTCTTTGTATGCATAAACCCAAGAAAAACTACAAGCATTAGTTTAAAAAGTATAAAAAAATGAAAGAATTAGCAATGGTGGTAAACCTACAAGACATTGTTAGAATTGTGTCTGCTGTTGGTGTTGTTCATGGACCTTCAGATGTAACCTGTTGTAACCACTGTAATAAAAGTGTTTGAATGTAAGTTTGCACATGTCAGTGACTACATTTGTAACAAAAATAGAGAGAAATAAAGGCAAAGGCTTTACTACAGCAATGGTTTTCTTTGATTTTACGTGCGACTGCCATGGTGTAAGGCTTAAGGTGGTGTAAGGCTTAAGGTGGTGTAAGGCTT